GAATGGAAAAGGGGGAAAAAAATAAAGGGGGAAAAAAAAAAAAAGGGTTCGGTCTTTTGGGGGTCAAGGGTAAAAAAGAAAAGGAAAAAGTACCCCCCCCCCCCCCCCCCCCGGCCCTGCCTCCCCGCCGACAGACCCTGCAGCAGCGCGATGCCGACGAAAGCGAAGCCGAAAACGAATACCCACCACTGCACCACCACCAACAGCCGTGGCGTCTTGGCGACATCCCCCCCTCGACGCGCTTCCGCGTAACCCCCTGCTTGTTGCGTTGGTGGTGGTGGCACTGCTGGGGTCCGTCGCGGACGCCGGAGGCGGCAGCGGTAATAGGGGTAGTGAAAGCAGCGTGCCGTGGTGGTATCCTTCGAGGGACTGGGGACTGCCTTCCGATGCCGTCGGCAGCGGCGGGGGCGAGGCGGGAGGGGGCGGGGGTTGGACGGGGCTGGGGGTCCCCCGACGACGATTCAGGTACCGACTCGCGTAACTGCCGTGAGCGGAGGCGGGTCATGTTGAGCAGAATATGTAACTGTTATGTAACGTGACCGGTACGCGTAGGAATGTGACCGTTACACGCGTCTTAGTTGTCGGTGCCTTCTCAACGTGCGAAACCCTTCGTCTGATACCTTGACATCCTCGCCTCCTCTCCTGCATCAAGCCTAGACGGTTCAGGCCATCATCCTTGTGGGTGGCCGGCTCTTGTAGGAAGTCTCGTACCGTGCAGCTCTAACACATCAACAGGAAGAAGCAGTCATGCCCGGGCATACGTTGTGGCCAACCCCCCCTTGAACGGGTCAGATACATGAGTTAGCGCTATTGAAGCACTTAACAACTTTGGCAGTGAAGAACTTCATGCTTAACAGTGTGGTATCAAACATACGAACTTGAGCACCATTCGTGAGCTCGGATAAGGGACCCCTACACTAAAAACCTAGATATAGCAACCATTTCTAGCATAGCCCTAGGAACTAAGAACCTCACCCCGGTTAAGAACCGTACACTAAAACCTAGATAGAATAGCTACCATTTCTAGCATGAACTAAGAACCTCACTAAGACTAGAGGTTCCCATGTGCGGGCGCTAGCTCTACACAGAACTACACAAAGGAGCTAACCAAAAGCTCCCTTACGATTGGCGCCGCATGACAGTCCTGAGCCTCGGCGCAACGTTTCCGTGTACAGCAGCCATGGCTCCGGTATGAGAGAGAGGTGGTGTGACAACGGCCCTCAGTCCTCTTGTACCGGAATAAGAGAGTCCCCAACCCTACTTATAAGCGGGTTGAGTCCGTGGCAACCGATTTCGACCTTCTTATGTTGGAGCCCCCTCTAAAAGGTATCCGCCTACAGTGGTGGCTACGGTTCAAGAGAGACTTTTTAAGAGAAATTACCGATTTAAGAGAGTCAAACTGGCTTGTCACGACCATGAGAAATACATACATTTCACAGTAGTACGGTTTAAGAGAAAACCGGATTTCAGAGAGAAATAATGGCTTGTCACGCCTCTCTTAAACCGTAGCTACAACTGCTGTATGTCGGAACCACGACTGCCGTTCCGCCGTTGCATGTGTCGAGAACAGGGAGGAGGCGAAGCTAGCCGAAGAGTTCGTTGCGAGTTGGGTGGCGTCTGGCCTGGCGGAGGAAGAGGAGCGGCGAGGGGGCTCCGTGGTGATGCCCGCGTGCGACGTGCTCGAAGCGGGCAACCACACCCTCAGGAGGCTTGGCGCGAGCGTGGATAGATGTGAGAAACGACGGCCTAACCTGAATTATCTCTCCTCCTCCTCCTGTTTTTTGTTGTTGCGGCTGCTGCCTTTATTTCGGTGCAGCAGCTTCGCCAGAAGCCGAAAGGGAAAGCAGGTTGACTCAAGGCCTTTATATTGCTTACAGACATGAGGGAGGCAAGACGGGCCCCACGCGTCATGTCCATCATGCACGTAACCCCCCCGTAGATCAGTTCTCTGCCGAGCACCCGCACACAGTTGACGTGCAAGAATCGTAGAATCAATGCTGGACGGTTCAACCAGAAGGGGACACTAAAGGCGGCGTTACAACATCTCGCGGCAGTTCGGTGTAAGAATGCCAGGCAGAACAGAATGCAAAGAAAATGGGTAGAAGAAAGCAAAAGGGGTTGTGTCGAACTCCTGTGATGGCGCAACTTATCTCCACCAGATCTCCAGGCGAAACGTGTTTTGGGGTCGCCGCGATGGTAGGTAGGTACTGAACGGATTGCGAGGCCACGCATGCAACGCTATGGAGCAGCAGATGATGGTTGGAGGGCTTGTGCGCACAGTTGATGGGCACGTTGGCGCCGGCAACGATCCAGCTAACCGTGTCATGAAAGGAATACAGCAGTATTCATTGGCAACGAAAGGGATACTCCGATTCTTGAATTTTGGATGCTTGCGTGGTCTCTTTCTTTTCTTTGTCCAGGCGCCTCGCCGTACTACGCCCTGCCCGAGATTCACCCCAGCCAACTGGTAAGGCCGTTGAGGTCGAGGGGGGGGGGGGGGGAGAGGGAGAGAAAAGATGGGTTGATTGCACGAGGATTTGTGTACGTCTTGTGTTCGTCATGGTGTATTTATCTCCCATGTGTGCAGGGCAGGGAGTATTCCCATGTTATTTCACCCTACTGCTGTTCGCGGTATGATGGTGTGTTGGTTTTCCACATATGTTTCGGAGTATGTTCCCATGGTATTTCACTCCTCACTCTTTGTGGTACTATTTTTTGTGCAGGTGTATACCGAGGTTGACCCCGCAGAAGCAGCGGAGAAGCGGGAGAGGGAAGAGCGAGCAGCGGCTCGCCGCAAGAAGAGGCAACAAGAAGCCAAGAAGAACAACAGTAAGGCAGGGGGGAGCGCAGGGCAGTCCTCGGGTGATGGGGAAGAAGACCACGGGGACGACGAGGAGGAGGAGGATAACTTTCTAGGAATTTTCCTCTTTCTCAAGGTGGGCTAGCAGCGGAGATGCCTCGCTTGTGCGTTGTGTGGAAAGTTACGTGCCCTGCCATTTTGTTGCCAGTTTTTGTCGCCCATCTTTTTCTTTTTCCAGAACGAGTGATATCACTGGCGGGGACCACGGGAACCAGCATAGGAGTACAACCCCCCACCCCACCCCAGCTCCGTCCTCTCGAGGACGCGTGGTCAATGGTCTAATCGCTACAAGTAAGGCATGCAACGTTAGAGTACTCTCCCACCCCGGACCGCCTCGCGCGATTATTAAGTTTATGAGGAAATAGACTAGGGAGGGGGTACGCAGACCGTATTCCATATACCTACCGTATTCCTAACCCTAACCCAACTTCCCCCGATTGTATGCTTCATCCAACATGCTTAGTTAATACAAAAACCCTGCAAAGGCTACTGCCCGCCCCACCCGTACCCCGTCCCGCCTCCCTATTGCACCGCGTTTTGTGCCCTCAGGGGGACTTCTTCAGCGTGGAGCTAGAGAACGCCCTCACCTCCATCATGCCGGCGTACCCACGCGCCTGGGTCGTCAAGGCTAATGCTCCGTCATTTTTGAGGTGACTGTTGTTGTTGTTGCTGTTGCTGCTGTTCTGATGATTTTGTTGTTGTTGTTGACGTTGCTGCTGCTTCTGCTGTTTTTTTGCTGCTGCGGTTGTGGTTGCTATTTGGTGGTGGTGGTGGTGTTGTTGTTGTTGACGTTGCTGCTGCTTCTGCTGTTTTTTTGCTGCTGCGGTTGTGGTTGCTATTTGGTGGTGGTGGTGGTGTTGTTGTTGTTGACGTTGCTGCTGCTTCTGCTGTTTTTTTGCTGCTGCGGTTGTGGTTGCTATTTGGTGGTGGTGGTGGTGTTGTTGTTGATGATGTTGTCGCTGCTCTGATTTTGTTGTTGTTGTGGTTGTTGCTGCTCTGATGTTGTTGGTGTCCTCGTGACGGTATCATCCGGTGTGTGACCCTCAAGAATTTCGCGGCGTTGATTTTCCTTTGGGTAATGGCCACGGGGTCCTAGCTGCGAGAGAAAACAAGATGCCCCCCTCCGAAGCAATTACACTCCATGCTAGGCGTTGGGGTGCGCCCACCTTGTTGTTTACCCCGTTTACCGTTCTATCAGTGCAATTTTGGTGTTTCTTTTTTTTTGGGCGAAATTCGACGAATTCTTGAGCCCGCAGACACTGGCAATCCCCTCCCCACAAATAATATCCAATCCGCGTGCCCCCCTCCCTCGATCCTCTGTCCTCCACCTCCCCAGGTGCAACTTTTTTTTTCTTTGGTACTGACGGGCAAGTGCGACGTTGTTCTGTCTCTCGTATTTTCTCATGTTTTCTGTTGTTGTGTGTTGTGCCTTGTCCTCTCCTCTTGCATGTTTGTTTGCTTCTCTCGCTGTAGCTTTTGCGTGCAGTACGACCTGCACACGTTCCCGCAGCTGCTTCTCTTCCGGAACGGGCACCTGACGTCGAGGTACCGAGGGAAGAGGTCGCCGGAGGGGTTGGCGGCGTGGTTCAGCCTCATGATAGGTGATTACGAGGTCGAACGGCAACTTGCGTGTCTTTTTTTCTATTCACCTAACAGTAAAAAGTGTCGGTGCCCCTCTCTCTTCTACGTAAACTCGTTTTTTTTTTTTGGCGCATTGGCCCGAAGCCCGGAGACTGTCATTGTCAGGGCATCTTGACGTGTAAATGTTCATGTTCATGTTCACCCAAAAAACCTTTTCACGCACGCATCGGTGCCACCCTGTTTTGTACAAGCGCGCAAGATCGGAGTCCCCTTGCGGTACTTGACGTGTTGTCGTGCCTACCGGATGTGAAACGTTTGGTTAGCCGGGATACTGTCCAATCCATCCATGGCATATCTGGTTTTGGCACAGTGAACGCAAGGAAGGATGATGATGACCAGCTTTTTTGGTTTATCCTTGTGAAACGTACCCTGGACCGGCGAAAACCCTGCATATCGCTCCGTCCCGGCATTTCAGGGATGTGAGGTCCATGGTCTAACGACTACGGCATGCGTTCACATGGGTAGCCCCCCCACCCCCCCCCCCCCCC